ATGCATGCCTGCCTGCCTGCATGCATGCATATATATATATATATACATATATATATATATATATACATATATATATATATATATGTATATATGTATATATGTATACATACACAATTATATGCTTATACATATACATACACCTGTAATATACATAAACACAACCATACACATACATATACACATAACACCTGCATGCATACATACATGCATACATACATACCTACCTTCCTTCCTACCTACGTACGTACATACATGCATATATCGAGATGCGAAGCTTGTAATGTGTGTACTTTTGTATATGTGGACATAGACCATGCACAGATATCGTGTACAGAAATGTGTATGTATGCGTTTGTTCGCTCGCCTGCTTAATTTCAATAAGAGGGGCTTCGGAGTCTGGATTTACTATCGTCCCTGGTCGTGTGTTACCCCACGCCCCCCGAGGAGGACCCATTCGGCAGCTTGCGAGAAAGAAGAAATCCTGACGAACCCCCCCCCCCCCCACCTCAAAAAACAAAAAAAAACAATCCCGGGCAAAACCCAGCTAACGCACAAAAAGCTCAATCCCAAATGCCTAAATCCTGAGACCTCGAAGTACCCCTTAACTTCAATCGACGGATGGGTCGAGGATGCAGGGCTTGCCTTTCGAGCTCTCAGTTTTGGTATGGGCTCAGGGTTTGTCGCGAAGGCCAGGGCTTTGTGGCCAGGATCCCCAGAATGCTGGGAGGCCCAACATGACTGGTTTTGGGTTTAGGGTTCCGTAAGGGTTTGGGGTTTAGGGTTCTTTAGGGTTTGGGATTCCAGGGTTCGTTTGACACTTGGCATGGGCCTGCGCGAGGAAGTCCTGAATTTTGCAGCAGCGCAACTTACCGAACAACCGCTGCGGACCGCATGCATGCAAACGGCACAGACGCCTAATGGGCCCTAATGCATCTTGGCCTTCGTGCCATCTGCACGTTGCATGTTACAAGTAGCTACAACAGCAATTTCAACCGCTGCAAGGTGCAAATATAGCGGCGATAATTGACAACGACAATACATACTGCCACGAATCTAAACAAGCGAATCCGACACCCTCCACACCAAAACCAGACAAACCTAGCCATAACCAGAAGCCCCTTAAATCCCTATAAACCCTAAACCGCTCGACCCTAAACACTAAACCCCTCAACCCTCAACCCTGAACCCCTCAACCCTAAACCCTAAACCCCTCAACCCTAAACATTGAAGGAACCCTCTTTGGCCTCTGCCGCCTCCAGGAGGCATCGCTCAACCAACTGATTGACCTGCCAAGCGCCGTCGCGGCGAGGGAGAGCGGGGTTATTATAAGGCCTTAATTAAGGAATAGACCTTAAATTATCAAAGGACCCCTAATATGATTTAAGGTATATTCCTTGATTAAGGGGTTTTGGAGTCTCTGGGGAGTTTGGAGCGCTGAGATTTATATGGGACTTTACGCCCGCCCAGACCATTTCTTCGAACCTTTATACTATGGAACCCTTATTAATTATAGAACCCTTACTATAGAGCCCTTATTAAGGAACTTAGAACCCTTCCTTTGGAACCCCGATTATGGAACCCTCCATTAGAGCCCTTATTCAAGAACCCCCCCTGAAGCAGAGCGGCAGCCGAGGTGGCGTTTGCGTTGCTCGTCGGCTCAGGCAAGCAACGCAAGCATGGTCTCAGGACTTAGGGTTTAGGCTAGGGGTAGGCTTTGGAGGTTTAGGGTGCAGGAAGCTTAGGGTGCAGAGTGAGGGGTCTTGGGGCTGTAGTGTTTCGGTATCTGTAGGTCTGATTTTGCAGCTGTGACCTCTCAGGGGCTGCCTGGTAAAGACAAACCCGTTAGAACAACAGATACAGGAAAGCTTGCATCATCGTCGCCATGACACGGGCCACAAACATCATGCATAGTAGAGTAGTCCCTGGTATCGCAGACTTCAGAGCAACTTTTCCAAAAAAACCCTATAAAAACCCTGGACGCCCGCACTGCCTTCCGTGCTGCTATGGTGCACTCGCTGGAGTAGATCTTCAGAAGCTCCTGGCGTGCAAACTCTCCGCATCTTTCCACCGGCTCTCTACGCCGCGAGAAACCCGCAACTCCAGACGTCCTAAAATCCTAAACTCCGAACCCCAAGTCCCAAATGCCAAAGCCTCAAGCCAAAAGTTGAAACCTGGCATTCAATACGATACATGACCACGGCTGCACGATGTTGTCTTCTACTGCTCAGTCGGTCCCTCAGCCGCTTCGCAGACCCCCCCGAACCGAGTTTCTAAGTTCTTTCGCCCGACGTGAAGTCTGGTCGAGTCTTTGTCTATATGGGACTTTCCGAAAATAGGGGGTACCTTATTTTGGGGTCCTTATAATAAGGATCCTAGTATTTAGGGTACTATATTAGGGTCCCCTATTTTCGGAAACTCCCATATCTGAAGCCTGGGAGGTTGAAAGGTACCTTCTCAGCCTCCAAGACTAGGGAGTCCATAAAACCCTGGGTAAATAAACCCTTTGAGAGCTACAGAGTATAGAGCCTGCGGTTCGCATTGTTCGCGCTGGTCTGAGATTGGGGAGAAAATGGGGAGAAAAATGCCTAAACCCTGAGGTCTTCCCATTGAATCAGGTTGGGTTTGGGGTTTCGTGCGCTGAACCCTGGACCCAGTAAGGAGTAACAACACTAACGAATTGCGCAGTAGGCTTCCACATGGGAGTTTCCGAAAATAGGGGATCCTCATATAGTACCCTAAATAATAGGATCCTTATTATAAGGACCCCCAAAATAAGGTACCCTAATTTTCGGAAACCCCCACATCACCCACTGAACAACACCAGCCAGGAGAGCTCCATTCCGCAGGAAGGCGGCAAGCCCAGCATCCCCTGTCGGAGGGGAGGAAGGTTTAGGGTTTAGGGTTTAGGGTTTAGGGTATAGGGTTTAGGGTTTAGGGTTTAGGGTTTAGGTTTAGGGTTTAGGGTTTAGGGTTTAGGCAAGTTGCGAGGGGTTGGGGCGTACTTTAGGGTTTAGGGTTTGGGATCTGGGGTTCAGGGTTGAGCGTGGTGGTACGTCAAGTCCTACTCTCATGCTGCGTCCGTTGCGTCAAGACTTGAAACAGCTCATCCGACTAGAGAGTCCGAGAAATCCCAACAACACTGTGCCAAAGCTCGTAATTGTCTACCGAGCACCGTAAAGCATACGTAGAATCTGCTAGTTCTCTAACGCGAATCTCTGGTAAGACCATTGCTTGAAGTCAAGGAGTTGGGCTTCTTGGAATTGGGATTCCGTTTACCTCGCACCGAGACAAGGATCGACCGAGGACATCCTGGCATGAATGGACTGCATTCGGGGATTGAGAAACACAGCCGTGCAATACCGGAAACATTAACAGCCGCGCCCCGGAGCCCGGAATAAAGACTCCCGGTCCACCGTCAATAGGAGAAGTAATAATAGCATCCCCTCATAGTCCTTCTGTAGCTACACTGTAGTATACCCCCACACTCTCTCTCGAAGTATTCAGGTCCCACTTCCGGGCTTCTGCTGTGGTGCTCTGCCTCCCTCAGCGTCGGCTTATGAGCCGGCTGAGGCCCCCAAGGAAGCCCTGGAGCCTGAACTTCAATGTAGGGGCCTCAATCATTTCAATAGGGTTTTGGGGGCCATTAGAGTATAACTATAATAAGGAACCCTAAGAATAGTATTCGTGAGCATTTTAGGCTTTTACTTTAACCGTGTCTAACCCCAAGAGCCGAAGACCCTGAAGCCCTGGAAGCACCAAAAGCCTAAACCCAGAAGAAACTAATGTACGTGACAACGTAGTTACCCAAAACCATGTTGGGGGTTCCTTATTATAGGTATAGTTTAGGGGCTGCCTCTAACAGTAATTGGCATGCTCTCTTTAGAACCATTGAGTCTGATATCATTATAACACTTAATTCCTGTCATCATAACACTTAATTCGTGCCATCATAACACTTAATTCCTGTCATCATAACACTTAATTCGTGCCATCATAACACTTAATTTGTGGCCATCATAACACTTAATTCGTGCCATCATAACACTTAAATCGTGCCATCATAACACTTAATTTGTGGTCATCATAACACTTAATTCGTGCCATCATAACACTTAAATCGTGCCATCATAACACTTAATTTGTGGCCATCATAACACTTAAATCGTGCCATCATAACACTTAATTTGTGGTCATCATAACACTTAATTCGTGCCATCATAACACTTAATTCCTGTCATCATAACACTTAATTCGTGTCATCATAACACTTAATTTGTGGCCATCATAACACTTAATTTGTGGTCATCATAACACTTAATTCGTGCCATCATAACACTTAAATCGTGCCATCATAACACTTAATTTGGGGCCATCATAACACTTAAATCGTGCCATCATAACACTAAATTTGGGAGTATCATAACACTTATTTCGTGCCATCATAATTCCTAAGTTGTTGTCATCATAACACTTAATTCGTGATAACTATAGCACTTAACTCGTCACTGTCTGTGCCTTCGGACACAAGTCTTTGGATTCTGCTGGTTATGATTCGGTGCATTCGGGAATTTCATTAGTTAGAACCCCTACCCTAAATTCGGTTGATGGACAAAATCCTGCATGACCTTATATACCTAAACTATGGGATTTATGGTACTATACTATATTGGGGTCATGCAGAATTTTGTCCATCATAAGTTGCGGCATCGACGGGTCGTCAATGACAAGTCATTCAATCATGAATAGGCAACAGGGGGCCATTTCGGCTCTAGGGGGCAACGAGATCCATTTCAATGGATCTTTGCGAAGCATTCTCAGATGACGAAGCTCCTGTGGGCGCTGAGCTTGCCCTTCCTGCAACTGGGACGGAGGATGGGCAAGTTGATCTGCTGGCAGCTTTTTCTGATGAGGATGACAGGGTTCAGGCTGTAGATGATGCAGCACTGGTGCCTCTTGAGCCGAGGGCGGATGACAAAAGTGAACCTTCTTTCAAGGGTTATAGTTTGAAGGGGAAGGTAGGCCGGGGGCGGCACGGAGATCAAATTGAAAGGAATCTGGTATGTGCTCACATGCGGGCCGAGAAGCGGGCGAGGAAGAACCGGGAGAATGAAATTGAGATCATCCAAGCATTGCAGGACAGCTGCATTAGCAAGAATGGGTCAACTTTCAACATTGCTGCCAAGACATCTTCATCTGGAGGCATTCAGATCATCCTCCATAAGACGTCTGGTCGAGGGAACCGATTTGTTAGGAAAATACATTTCAGCAAGTTTATCCGGGCCTCATTTGGACCTAACAGCAGTGGCAGTAATGTAGCATTGGCTTTACTTCTTCAGGTGGACGGGTCTACAATTCCGAGGCTTCAGAAGACATGTGCCGGGACCTTCATGGTCTCGCAGGCGAAGATGCTAGCAAAACTTTATGCTTACTGTCAACGGTGTCCTCCCTTGACTGTACATCATCACATAAAGTTTGATGAAACATGTGTGTCGACGACATTGAGCCCGGGGGGGCAAGCAGCTTCAGTCAAGAGCCAGTGGTCAACTTTAGTGGTTCGCTCGCGACTTCGAGTCACTTGGTCATCTGGTGCTGTTTGGGAGATGCGATTGGTCACACCGGTCGTGCCATTGCTTTCTAGCTCGGCGGAGCAAGTTTACTATGCACTTCGTAACCACCCAAGTTACCATATGCTGAACAACTTGATCCGGATGGTGGGCACGACAGCTACTGTTCGCTGCACTTTGTTTGAAGTCGACGGTGCCTATGCCAATGTGCGCCTGCAGCATCATCTACTGTCATTGCCGTGTTATAATCCGACAACACCTGGAGGAGCTTTCTTTGAATGCCCCCGTTGTCAAAGCCATGCTTCGCACCTCATTTCGGTGTCCCTTTTGCAACTGATTGGAGGTAACCTTTTGAGCAGGCTGTATGGATTGGCGGTCTTCGCTCGCAACTTGGGCTACTTGTTGCGGCTACAGTTGGCAGTGAAGGCGTGGCTTCGGATCCCGGTCATTCTGCTGCGAATTGGGGTAGGTGAGATAGTAGATTAAAATACTTTGTAGATTCTGGAATTGCGGGGTGATGTTGGTTAAAGGGTTTGGGTTCTAATAGAAGATTGGCTTCCGAACGAGCCGGGTGTCTCGGTCTGAGTCAACTCTTTCAACAGTAGAGTTGGTTTGATCATATTGGGTGACTCGGTCTCGTGATATTGGTGGTCTGGGCTATGAGCCATGTGGTCCAGCATTAATGTCACTTGGTTTTGGGGGTATGGGATTTCTTCGGCATCGCGATTACAGTGGGTTTAGGATTCGAAATCCGGGCGATGAGAAGATAGGTATGTCTTCTTCATCGCAATCATAGTGAGTTTAGGATTCGAAATCCGGGCGATGAGAAGACAGGTATGTCTTCTTCATCGCAATCATAGTGAGTTTAGGATTCGAAATCCGGGCGATAAGAAGATAGGTTTATCTTCTGCATCGCGATTATAGTGGGTTTAGGATTCGAAACCCGGGCGATGACAAGACGGGGGCAAAGAAGTGGCGATTGGAGCTGCATGTTTCAGAATTTTGGCATAGCTGGGGTTTGGGCGCTTGGGGTGTAAGATTCGGGGCACAAGGTTTGGGTTATAAGTTAGTATAAGTTATTAGTTATTAGTTATTAATTAGTTATTAGGGATAGGATAAAAAATGAATAAATTCCATTGGTGTGCCATCTAGGACAACTTGATCGTGCAAGCTGAGCAAGGGCAGCCTGTGGATCAATTGATGCAGGAAACTATTCAGTTTCTGGAGCAGTGGCATCACGGCAGGGATTGTGAGGATTCTTACGAGCAGGGGCGAGCGACCAGGCAGAGTGAGTTTCATCGGAAATTGGAGAGCTTCAAGAATATGTGGAATGGAAGCTTCGCAGGTCAGCCGATGCATCGTTGCACATTAGGACACTGCACCGATCGAGAAGACATAATAGAGAAGATGACTCAATCTTTTGTATCCTTGATGCTTGCAGTCCTACCTGCAGTGCCGGCGCCAAACAAATGGACCACGATTTGGCCATCTTCAGATTTTGTCGGGCTGGGTTTGCTGATACACAACTACTTGCCATCCATCTTCGAACTTGCATTTCGACCTGTCATGTTCACGACTGACATGCAGCATGAGGAGACTGACCCACGACTGGTTGAAGGGTTGCATTTCCAGGCGGTGCAAGGAAAGAGGTATGTCGGTTCGCGAGATTTTCTGGCGAACCCTGATTCGCAATGGAACTGCAGAGTTTGGCTTCTTGTGTCTGAGCATTTAAGACGGCTTGTGTTTTATTGGTTGCGGAATTTGAAGGATTGTAAAAAGGCTGGTTCTCGGTTCCCGATTTGCGAACTCCTCGACAAAAGGGCAAGTGTGGTTTGGGCAGTATTGCAGAACATTGGGCATCAACTTCTTGACAACCAGGGCACTGGTCGCCTATGTTTCGCTTGGCAGGCTTCGGGTTTTTCGTCTTATCAGGAGTGGTGTTCATGCGACACAAAGCAAGTCCGCGAACTTCGTCGTGCACTTTTGGCATTGTCTGCTTGGGTTTTCAGGAGACACATTGTGTACTGGGAGCAGTTTCCATGGTGTTTGATGCGATTGGTTGATGATGCTGCTGAGGAGGCATCTGTACAGGCGGTGAAAGATCGCTGGGATTCTTCTCTCATCTGCTGTATGCCTGCAGGCCTCGCTAGGGAGTTGAAGCGAGCAGCTCCACAAGCAGAGGCCCTTGTTGCAGACAGCAAATGGCGGGCGACTTTAACAGGTTTCGCTGCACTGTTGCAGATGACCATAGCCGACGTCGAAACCAAACATGCATTATCTAGGCACTGGGCTGACAGACCATTCCCTACGATCGCTGCAAAACACATCAACAGAGAAGCTAAGCTGTGCATCGACGAAGCCACCGCGATTACGGAATCAGCGAGGCCTTCAGCTCCTTTAGAGAGCGATTCAGCAGTTGCAAGAGGTCCCACCAAGGGTGCAGCGATCAAAATCAAAACACCTCAGATTCGATCGAAATCTGCATACATGTATTTCAGAGACGATTTCCTTCGTGTGCAGAAAGACATCATGGCAGGTGGGACGATCAATCCATGCACGACTGAATTTTGGCAGGAATTGAAGGCAGCCTGGGCTGCTTTGCCGCCTGCCAGGCGAGACTACTACGAGGAATTGGCATTGCAATCCAAGATCGAAGCAGATCGAGTTCGCTCGGCACCCCGGTCAGAAACTGCCAACGATGCTGTAGTGCCACAACAGCAGCCAGTCGTTGCCACCGGGCATCAGAGAGAATCGAATGGGGAACTTCAGCCGCTTTCTTTTGCAGGGTCAGAACACAAACCCGGGACCCCAGCCGCCATTCCCTACAATCCTTGGGTCCTCGCATCGTCTGCTACATCTGATGTTGAGATACCAGACTTAGCTGAGCGAGTTCGGCAGTGCATGCAGAGCCAGTCGTCGTCGAGTGTAGATTTGAGTGACGAATGCATGCGCTTGAGCCCTGTTTCGGAAGATCAATTGCAAGCTTCTTGGCGGCACCAGGTGACTCGTGGTGTGACATGGGCAGCTGCACTGAAGCAGTTCAATCGTGAAAGCCAGAGGTTCGCTGTTCCGAGCACAGACGACTTGTTTCCGGAACGAGTCATGTATCAGAGTTCTTGCGGCTGCCTTTGCAGGACCCTCACTTCGGGAGTAGATTGTATGTTCTTCGAAAGGTTGTTGGCGGCTTTCAATGAAGTCGTGACTCAGTGCGGAAACGGCTGCATCGCAGCCGCTAGCAAATGCGATATCCTGCTCCGACATGATCTTCACTTTGATGACATGCGGGATCCATGTCCCGCATTCTACACATGGGTGACAGCTGTGTCTGCTCGCAGCGGGCCCCATGCTTCTTCTCAGGTCTTTGTCCAGTGTCGTGTGGTCCAAGGGCCAACAGCAGAAGAGGGTCAAGTTCGGCTTCAGTTGGATTCCTTACCTTCGATAGGCTCTCAGTTGCGATGGTGTTCATCGTTGCTGGTTTCTGGGCCTTTGCGGCACTACACAGAGCAAGAGTTTGCTAAGCTTTTGTTGGAACAGTGCCTCGAGTTTGGTGCGGTCGCTGTTGGCATGACTCGTCTCCAGTTCGATGATGTTGATGTTGCCACAGTGAAGACAGCAGGCACTTGGCCAGCATGGAAGGACATTCTGGTGCCAGCTTCTTCACAGCCTTTGCCGGAGGAAGCACAAGCTGATCCGGGTGTGCTCGAGCCGCCTGCTGAACCTGTTGTTGCAGCCCAGTCTTTTGATCTGATCTCCGAGGTAGCGGGAGATGTTCCTGCTAGGGGGCGAGGCCGTGGTGGCGGCAGGGGTCGTGGTCGTGGCAAAGAAACAACAAAACAGATTAGGAATCGCCTGATAGCATCGATGCCCGTAGACAACAATCTGGATGAAGCCCTGGATGCAGAACTCCACCAGTTGCTCAGCGAGCAAAACATACTTCCCCCGGAAGCCGATGTCCTGGGCTCTGCAGCAGACTTGCACGATGCAGTGCAAGATCCCACTGTGGTTGCATGTTTAGACGAGAACTTTGCAGGAGAGGTGATTGATGCAGTCCATGGCTGTCGTGAAGTGAATCCAGAGCCGAGGGTCGCATTTCAAGAGTCTGATGATGATGAGATCGTGGAAGACAATTTGGATCAAGAGTTGGGGATAGATGTTTCAGAAGCGGTCGGCGGTGAAGCTAGTGTTGCCGGCGAATCAATTCCTCAGGATGCATGGGCAGGTGTTTTTTCCAGATCCTGCTCCGAGTGGCGATGCATTGCCACGTGGCTCACGAGACTCCGTTCCGGCTTCTCGGTGGGTCTCTGAGATATAACATAATATATATTATATATATATATATAATAAGAATAATAATAAAAATAATGACATATGACATATCATATATAAGGTAATGATATATGATGCTTGTTTTTTTTGATAAGGAGCTTGAGATTTATATGATATAATATAATTTAATTATATAATATATATATATATATATATTATATAATATTTGTAATTAATCATAGTCATTTAATAACCTAATTTTTTTATATATAAATATATATATATATAAATTATATATATATATATTATATAATATATATCTCATATATATATATATATATATATAATATATACGTTACATAATTATACGTAATCGTATTTTTACATTTATATACTTAGATTATTATATAATATCTAATAATATAGCCTAATATAGCATATGTATACTATATAAATACGAGCTTGTTTTCGGGCTTAGGGCATAGGGCGTTTAGGGTTCTCTGGAATACGGTTAGAGTTGCAGGTCCAGGGCTCAGGGTTTAGCGCCGTATAAGGTTTACGGCTTCAGGAGTGCAGTTCCAGAGATACTGAGCCAACAAAGCCCTTTGGATGGGTTCGATTGATGGGCAGCTGCATAATTGTAACTTATTGGAACGAATCTCTCTGGTTGTTAGTCTCTTAGTTCGTCGGTAATTCTATATCATTAATATATGCCTTATATGTCCACAGCTATAGGTTATACGGTATAACAACCCAATATAGAAATTCGTTAGTTATTCGTTAGTTCCCATACAAGTAATGTCATCGATCAGGTTCCCATGGGGCCGCCTTCTTCATCACGTTCGGTGGCATCTGCGAGGACGACAGACCCGGCAGCAGTTTGTGAATTTTCTCTCGGTAGCTCGCCAGATGGATCTTCAGTTGTGGCTTTGGAATCCAAGCATGGGAACAATCGGTTTGAGGTATGGAAGAAGAGAGCCGGTAGAACTGATGTGCTCGGAAAGATTGTCTTGCTTTCCTTTTTCAACCGGCCTGTTTACAAGGCAGTTTGCAAAGTACACTCCAGCTGTGAATGTGTGATCAATTCTACGGATGAGTCGCAGCTGCTAGACTGGTTGCGAGTGGCCGGGGATAGCACAAAAGCCGAGCATGCCAATCTCTCGCGAGAGTTGCGGCAGAGGCTTGGCATGAGAATTCGCAAGTAGCTAGAAGGGATTGTGCAGGCTGTCAAAGTGAGACAATAAGTGACGATAACGAGTATCGTTCCAAGCTGTTAATCCCAATGTCGTTTGGCATCGTAGCTTGTTCTAGTGAACAGATAGTGTTTCTGCTGTAATGCATGCCTCCAGCCTTGCCGTCCTGTTAGTCCAGTGCCTCATGTCTGCAATAAGGGTCGCGACGACTGTGTTGCTTAGTTCTAGACTGAAGCACAATCCAGCCGTGGTTGTAGTTGTTCACATAGCATCATAATTTATTAATATCCAATAGTATATTCATATGCATGTCATGTTGACACCTATATACAGTATACAGATATCAAAATTACATAAATATAACCATGGCCACGACTAGATTGTGCCTAGGCTACACATATAAATTATACTAGTGCTCAGGTTTATAGACCCTGCTATTCGGTGATCCTGAACTTGGTTTTACTGATATCCACTTTGCCTGTGGCATGAAGGCAGAAGCAAGTCGCAATCGTGCAGACAGTCCTGGGATTCATATCTGTGGAGCGGGTCGCGACGACTGCGGTGCTTAGTTCTGAACGGTCCAGTCGTGGTTGTAGCTGTGCATATATTATCAGTATCATACCAGTCCATATATATACTACACCTACAGACTTTAACATGTAATTGATCTATAGTCTATAACTTATAACTTATAACTTATGTTTCAACTACAGCCGTGACCACGACTAGACCGACTGTTAGGTTCCTTTACCCTGCTACTCGGTACTCCTGAACCTCTAAATCGCCCAAATCTGGTGGGGTTGATATTTTCGTGGCCTGTGGTGGATGGACAGAAACCGGCCTATTCTATACTTTATCGGGCTCACATGGTATCTTCCCCATATCATAGATATCGTAATCATATTTGATATGAACCGATGTGGCAGGTTTCTGGCCAGCAGCCATATACAGGCAGCAGCAAGTCGCAGCCGTGCAGAGAGTGCCTTTCTTTCGTTTTCGACCCAGACCGACCGTGCTTCCTGAAGTTGTGCACAGAGCTAGAGCGGGTCTGGGGCTTCAGTATCTGCAGTTTGTACAGAGTCAGATCTTGAGTCGTCAAAGTCCAAGAGGCAACGGGGGACGTTGGACATGGTTTCTATTTTCGAATTGTAGGCCGTTTGCCCTTGCATGCTACAATATCGAAGCCATCAGCTAACTGATACTTGTATACTGCACCGTATACTATTACTAGCCGTCTGAAATGAGAAGTTCACGTGTCCAGCCTCTTTAGAGGAAGGGTTTGCAGTTTCGAGCATCTGGCACACTCAAACCCGGACATCTAGGATCAAGACAGTGGTCCTAAACCCTAACAACCCGAAACCCTAAGCCCTGAAAGCCTGAACCCTAAACCCTGAAAAGCCCTAAACCCTAAACCCCCAACCCTTGGCCCTAGACCCTGAGGCCTGATCAGGACAAAGGATTAAATGCTTATCATTGGCAATAAGTTCTAGTTATAGTTTGTGTCTTAGTCTTTGATATTCCATCTTCTGATGAAGATACTCGGCTTGTGAGGCATCCGCCTACACCTCGTTTGAGTGCTTGTCAGATCGCATGGAAGGCTTCAACAATCGAAGCCATGGCCGGGCATTTTACAGCAGACATGTGGGGTCTTCGTGAAAGAATAGACTGGCTGCCGGGGTCTTTGATTCAGAGGGTTGGGGCACGGTGTCGTTCGTGCTGTATAGTTGGCTTTTGGATTGGGGTGCAGTTTTTGGAAGTTCAGTTCATCTTTCCGTGGGCATAGCTGGGGTTATAGACTATATGGTTTATAGTTTATAGTCTATAGTCTATAGTCTATAGTCTATAGTCTATAGTCTGTAGTCTATAGTCTTTAGTAAACCCAGCAGCCAGCCAAGGTGGTTCACTGCAATGCGGGATTTCATCGGTCTCCATTGCTGGCTGCACTGATCCTGGTCGTGATGGGACAGGAGAGCTCCATAGAGTCCGCCTTGCGCTACCTCGCCGGCGTCAGGACAATTTGGAAAGGCTGGACCTGCCCTGGAATGTTGCAGGGAGAAGGATCGCTGAGCGAAGCGCTGAGCTGGGCCAAAGGGCTTTGCAGCAGTGCTGTCGGCACCCGCGCTCGTTGGCAGGTGAAGGAACAGGTTCCGGCTGACAGCCAGGATGCTTCGGCTGGCAGCCAGGATGTTTCGGCTGACAGCCAAGTTGCGAGTGCGGTGTTGGCTTCTACCTCCAGCAAAAGCTCGCCTACCCCACTGCCACCGACACCACCAAAGCCTCCCCCAAAAGCACCGCCAGAGACGCCGAAGGTGGAGGACAACAAGGTGCCGGCACCAGCCACAGCAGCGGCACCGAAAATAAAAGCGCCGCCGCCTTGTGCAAGAGAGGAGGTAAAAAGCGAGGTTTCGGCTGCCCAGGAAAATCTCGAGACGGCGACAACCGAGGCCAAAGCTGCAGCCAAATGCATCGCAGCGTTGCCAGAACCACCTGTTACTGTTAAAGCAGCGCCAAAGAAGCCCGAAGGCCAGCAAGGCACGGCCACCAGTTCGGCTGTCAGCCAGGCTTCGCAGTTTGCCACCAGTTCGGCTGCCAGCCAGGCTTCGCAGCTTGAGGTTTCGACAGACAGCCGGGCCGTCAAGCGGGAGGTTGGGGAGGCAGAGCAGAGGCTGGTGAAGGCTCGGATGATGAGAAAGGACATCCTCAACCAGCTCCATCAATTGGACAGCGAACTGGGTCTGGTGGGCTTCCTCGACCGCAATGGGTTGCCTAACGTCGGCAGCTGCAACTCCGAAGGCCACACATGCCTGCACATCATGGCGGAGGACCTGAGGCGAGGCGAATGCACTCTTTCTCTGGCTTTGGAGATTGTGGATGCAGTGCCTTCTGCCATCCTGGATGCGAAGAGCACAGGTGGCAGGCCCCAAGGGGCGGCAGCAATGCATATGCTCTGCGGGTCCGGGCGTGACCAGGGCGACGTGAAGGCCGCGGTTGTGCAGAGGCTTTTGGAAAGACGAGCGGAGCTGGAAACGAAGGACGCTCGGGGTTCGACCCCGTTCCTCCGGGCTTGTGGTTGCCAATGCTTGCCTGTTGTGGAGCTCTTGGCAGAAAAGAGGGCCAATATCCACGCAGTGCAGCAGGCTACTGGAAGGAACGCCTTCGACATTGCGAATGCAGAAGATGCTCGGCTTCATCAGCAAACAACTCGACTCTAGACTCTAGACTTTAGATTGTATACTAGTTACTAGTTACCCTAAACCCTAAACCCTAAACCCTAAACCGTAAACCGTAGATACGCCGTAGACTATTACTATTACTATGACTATTACTATATTACTATATTACTATATTACTATATTACTATATTACTATAATTACTATAATTACTATATTACTATATTACTATATTACTATATTACTATATTACTATATTACTATATTACTATATTACTATATTACTATATTACTATATTACTATATTACTATATTATTATATTACTATATTACTATATTACTATATTACTATTACACTATTACTATATTACTATATTACTATATCATTATATCATTATATTACTATATTTTTATATTACTATATTACTATATTACTATATTACTATATTACTATATTACTATATTACTATATTACTATATTACTATATTACTATATTACTATATTGTTATATTACTATATTACTATATTACTATATTACTATATTACTATATTACTATATTACTATATTACTTTATATCACTATATCACTATCTAATATGACTAGACTATACTACTTACTACTATATTACCCTGCTGGTTTCGGCCTAGTAGTAGTCTGCGGTCCAAGTCCGAGT